CTGAACCTCGAGGACTGTGCTGCTGACATTGGAACGGTGTGTAATTTATTTAGCCTGACCTTTCCCTGGGCTGGCAACATTATCAAGGATCCTTTCTACCACTTGTACACCCATTGCCAAGGTGACATCCTGTTTCATGCGTCAGTCAGTGAAGATCGCATCCGTGCTGCTGTGATGCTTTTGTTTGCTGTCCTGCCTGACAAGCTCTTGGCAGGCTTTCAGCTCCCGCGGATGGCAGCTGCTCCACAAGGGACCCAAACAGATTCAAGCTGGACATTATTATATGGAATTTCATGTAGACAGAGCATGGGACTGGAGTTTCTTGGATGAGAGTGGACCATGGATAAGATAAAGCCCAGAGGTGCTACCAGGTGTAATGGGACTGGCAGGTGACTACAGCACTGCACCCTAGGTTCACTCCCCACTCCCACCTCACTCGGGATTTATATGTGCCCTTGTGGTGCTTGGGAAGCAGACGCAGCTCACCAGTGCTCAACACAGAGGCTTGAGAAAGTCCAAATGAGTTTGGATGGTGGAGCACAACCGGTAGAATAGGTCCTACCACTGCACAAAACTATCTGGGGTTTTCCTCCCCACTCCCAGTGCCTTCCCAGAGGGTCCTAGGAAGAGATGGGGATGCAAGTGGGGAGGTCATGTCTGTCCTTCACACGAGAGCCTGTCAGTAGTGGGGACAGCTGCAGCAGGGAGGAAAATAGCTCCAGTAAACCTACTCCCCCAGCACCACCAAGGGGTTGAAACCTCTCTGAACCAGGGGGATTTTCACTGTTGGTTGCCACCATTCTCAAAGGGACTTTGGTTACGGATGAAGACAAAAACTGCAGCTAAGAAGTCTCCAAACCCCACCAATTTCTTACAAGCGACTCAAAGGTCTACAGTTATGAGGGTTAAAAATGAATTAGGCAGCTCACAGGAGCCAAGCCAGGTCTGCTGCAGTTGTCAAAAGTAGGAAAGCTTCATGGAAGTTTCCCACATGTGCATCCACTTTGCACTCCAGCCCTCCCAGCCTTGTGGCAGGCTCCATCCTGCTCCCATAGGTCTGATCTGAAAGAAGTGCTGGGCACCATTGGGAGGACAGGACAGAGGATGCTCTTGGTCATGGACATGGCTTTCAATGGTACCTGTGTTCTCCTCGGACTGGTTGAAGCCACATATCTGGCAGATGCTTCGAACCCACTTATTCATGTCATCCTCAGTCTCAGCCACCAAGTAGAAGGTCCTGTCACTTGTCTTGATGTCAAAGATGTAGCTGTCTTGCAGTTCCTTCCTGTTGAAGGTCAGGCCCGCATCCACTTGCTCACAAAAATTGAGGTTGATCACACGCAAAGGTTTCTTGGAGTGATCATTTTTGTAGTACTCCAGGACGTCGGGGTCGCCACTCATCCGACCGCTGCGCAGGACGAACCACCGTTTCTTCCATGCCTGAAATCAAGAAAAGAGGAAGTTTGAACCTCATTTCTGAAGCTGTGAGACTGAAAAACCATTGCTAGGCATAGGATGACACAAATGGACACGACACTTCTCCACCATGGTATGTTCTGGGGTGCTGTTCAGGACATACCTGCAAGAGCTGCATAGACTCAGCTCAGTTCTTCAGTTTAATACTAAAATTCCACTGGTTATCCAGGAGAATTCAATACTGAAATAGCATTGTAACATAGTAGGAACCCAAGAAGTGCTAGTCTTGAGGCTCAGAACAACCTTGCTCCTATCCTATAGCCCAGCCATGCTCCCAGGACTCAAATACCCTTCTCTTCTCAGACTGGTGAGATAATCTGCAGAGTGGCATTACCAGCCATCACAGTGCTGAAATACCTTCCAGCAGCTTGGATGAGCTCAGGCACTTTGGACACAGCACCCTGGGTGTACTGACCTTAAGAGAAACCCCTGAGAACATCATAGCACGTGTCTGCAGACACAGACCACACCAGTCCCATCTCTGTTTCAATGCCAGGAGAGAAAGGCTAATAAAGCCAATGGGGAACTGGTTTGGCATTTTAAATATCAGGAATAATGCCAGGGATACCCATGGAGAATCCAAACTTCATTCATTTTCCAGCATCCTCGGCTCCCTGGCACATAGGTAACTCCTTAGCAAAGTAAAAGGTTATCATTGATTCTTCCAAACACTACTGACAGTGGCTCCCAGCCAAACTGCTTGCGAAATTGACTCAGGGGGTTTGGAGTTTGAAGCAGACCAGCAAAATAAATGTCAGCTATCAGCCCTGACCATGAGAGCTGTGGCCCCACTGCTCTCCCTATGTCAAATGCAGCTGGGAGCCCATAGGACAGGGAATAGCCACAACAATAATGTGCTAAATGCTAAAACTTAAATTACACAGAAGATTGTGCAGGATGGACAGTACTCTGCACAAGGATCCTGGCACCTGTGTGAGGGATGCACAGGGTGAAGGACCACCTTGAGCTGCTCCCCATTGCAGAGCTACGCTGCCTTGCTGAGGGCTCAGCTCCCATGGCCTATGGAAGGGAAGGACTACATCTAAGCACAGTCCTTAAAACAGTTTGTTCAGGCTGTCTTTGAAGGGAGTGAAGGTTTGAGAGGTGCACGTGGATGAGCGAGGTGATGTGGGTAATTACCAGTGCTCCTGCACTACCTGACACAGATCTTGATTTGCAACAAAGGGAGCCAAGGGAGGGAATGTGATTACCACTGCTCTGCCCCAGCTGTGGACATTTGGGGTTTTTTAATGAGATTTACCTTGCTTATTGGAATTCATATGATTATAAGAGGTTGGGTTATGAGGAAGTTCACAATGTCCCTAAGATGCACAGCCACAAACATCTTTAGTAACCCAAGAGAGGCAGCAAGGTGAGAAGTTGAGAAGTGTGCTGGTTCCCCCACGATACTCCCCAGGTTGTGACCACAGCCCTGTGAGGCTTTGTATATTGTCAACGGGCATGTGCTAGACCTCAGCCAGCCAATTGCACCAGGATCCCACAATTTTGGAGAATTTTGTGGCTGAAATAACGGTAAGAAACCCCTGTGACCTTTACCTTGAACAGTCTGATTCATACCATACTTCTCAAAGGCTTAAAAATAGATTTTGCTGGTGTCTTTGAGATTTGTAACCAAATTAATTTTGCACTAATTCTCAAACTAGTTCCTGGTGCCAGGAAAGCAACTTCAGTGCAATCTTCTAAAGGCAGTGAAGCAGAAAATTGCTTAGAAAGAGGACGTGCAAGCCTGGCAGATTTTGGTTTAATCTAGAAGATGCTCACCCACTTCTCATCAAAATGGCTGCTTTTAGATGAAAAAATAGGCACACAGTGGAACTGTGCTCATCAGTGAGGGGAAAAAACAATTTCACCAGGGAGCACCAATAATTTGCTAGTCCATCTCCTCAGAATGGATCACCCAAATATTGGGTAATAAACTCATGAACACTTCTTTCTAGCTCTAGGTGGAAAGGGTCCCATTAGCTTCTTCCTATTAGCACTGAGTCACTTCTTCGCAGTCACTTGTCAGGACTAAGACATGGGCACACATTAGTGAGGGGACTGAAGGAAGATGGAGTCGTGCAACCACATGAATCATCATGTGAATGAAGACATATCCAACACCAGGTCTTGCTGCTTAGCTTGTTGCTTTCCAACCACCTGGAGTCCAGTTTTCCAGCATCCCTTCACGGCTGATGCTGCATTAAAAAAAACACAGGGTACAGAAACTAGACTCCAGAATTTTGTGGGGTTTTGTGGAAAAAATAGGAGGAAATGCTGCAACAAGGCAAACGATGCTACCACAGCTTCTCTTTTTATCACCAGGTTGAGAGCCACAACTTCTCCAGTTCTCTCTGGTCTGTCTGATAGCAATGAAAAGCCCCATGCAGTCAACACTTGGCAGAGAAAACAGTATAACACACACAGTCTGGTGGTATGGGATAAGTTCTAACATAGACTGGTTGCAAAAGAATGGGCCTTGCCCACACAAAATTTCTTAGGAAGCTTCAGGAGCTAGAGTATCATTAGAGGGTGGGACCATTGGACAGGGCAGCAGCACCACTAACCTGGACACCCACCCTGTCCACCTTTGCCTGGTGCCCTCCTGATGATAAGGAGTCGCTGCTGTTCTTTTAAAACAACTTCTGACCCAGAAAAACAGCTCATGACAGCAGCTTCTGGACTGCCTGTCCTGGACAGGTGGCTGCAGGCAGCACAGCTGGAGGCATCTCCCACCACATGTCCCCGCAGCAGGACCAGCCGTTCCTGCCTCCTAAGATCAGTTTCCAAGCCAGATGAATAAGCATTGATCAGTAGAAGAGAATGGAAGTAAACAATAAATAGCCAGGAACTTTCTTACTTTTATGAAGATTTTCCCCATTTCTTTGAATTTTTGAGCACTGAGCTCAGCAAGTGTATCTTATTTTCTCTGAATTTGCTGTGTTCATTATGAACAGGGTTCAGCTTGTGTTTGCCAGGCTGTGGCTGCTCTTGGAGCAGCATCTCTTGGCACTAATGAAGCTTGCCTCAACACATCGCTATACAAGGCAAAGGACATGTAGTCAGCAGCACATGGGCCATCCTCCTGGGACACCTATTTCCTCCTTCAAGGCTATCAATATCATTGAAATCTTCCACGTTTAGGCATCCCTAGGATATCATCTCCCTGCAGGAGGGTGATTTAAGGGTCTACCGACCACCATCTATGACAGCAGTAAGATGCGTGTGATCCATGTGCGCATGGCAATCTCAGCCCATGCCAAACCATGCACATGGGCCATCCTCCTGGGACACCTATTTCCTCCTTCAAGGCTATCAATATCATTGAAATCTTCCACGTTTAGGCATCCCTAGGATATCATCTCCCTGCAGGAGGGTGATTTAAGGGTCTACCGACCACCATCTATGACAGCAGTAAGATGCGTGTGATCCATGTGCGCATGGCAATCTCAGCCCATGCCAAACCATTCCAC